TTTCCAGGGCTCTTGGGCGAGGCAAAGTAGGGTAATACGACCTTGGCACCGCAACTGTGTCTGGCACATTGATCTGGTGTGAACAGGAGTGCCTTCGGTGGTTGAAGAACACGCACGAGACGCTGAAAGGACGGAGACCTCAGCACGTTTCTGCGATGCTGGTGTGAAGCTCTGGTGGCTGCTTGTAGCACGTTGAGTTCAGCGCTCGCAAGATCAGTTGGCTGTCCCTCCCGACTTCCTGTGCACCCTCCTCGTCTGTGATTCTCGGGGACTTGATTCCCGATGTGGAGGACAGGAGCCAACAGTGGAGCTGTTGACTGCCTTCGCCAAGGCACGACTCGCCTGGAAATCATCGTAGAACCAGAGCGTTCCATAAACGCGGCTGCACAAACAAGAGGAGCAGGTGCATGTCGAGGAGGGGAAGAGGATGAGGAGCACGAGGAAGAGACTGTCGTCGTTGTGGTGGCAATCCTTTGTTCTATCGTACATTCCTTGAAGCAGCACAGCAACAGGTCAACATGTTTGCAAGTTTTTGTAAAAGCAGCCAAGAGTCGAGGCAAGAGGAGCTCTAGAGTCGAAAGGACTCAGTCGACAAAGCGGAGCTCGACAGTAGCTGTATCCGCGATGGTTTATCATTGGGTCGCAGTATGAACAAGCAGCAATACAACCCGGCTGATCGCAAGAGGCGGGCATCATTGAGACATCGGAAGAACATTCCTACTATTACTACTACTATTACTACTATTACTACTACTACTACTACTACTACTACTACTACTACTACTACTACTACTACTACTACTACTACTACTACTACTACTACTACTACTACTACTACTACTTACTAAGGCTTCTAGTCATGCTTTTTCCGACCGGGTCCTGGAACTGCGAACACTTGGATCGATGTGCAAATCGGTGAAATCAACTGATCATTGCAAGGTTCAGCCTTGGACTTGCGCACACCCTCAAACAACAGCGTTGACCGTGAGAGTTAGTGCCCGAAAGGCTTTACACTCCCTAAGAAGACCAGCATCGTTCTGCAAACAGTACGCCAGCCCGCCGGGACAGTAGCAAAGATGTGCCAGAGCCCCAGCCCAAACTCCACCAAACCTTCGCAAAGCCTCACCCACGAAGGCCCCCTCGCCGGAGGCCCCAAGCATTTTAAGGCTCCAGGAGGATCATGAACCCAGAAACTGTTGAAGGCACCCGCGTCTTGCCCTATTGATGCATGTCACAAAGCACCAAGGGCTCGAAACATCTACCTCGCATAGCCTTCACTGCTGCAGCGCAACATCACCCTCAACCTTAAACCCCAAACCCATGACCGGACCGCAGGTGGAAACATTGCCATAAACAAGCCTAAGCCCTTCCAGGAGACCTTGGCTTCAGGCAAGGTGATTCCAGGCTTCGGCCACGGTGTGCTCCGAAATACCGACCCGCGCCTTGCCCGGGAAGTTCAGAAGACGGGGGGTTCCTTTTTTTTGGAGGGTCGTCGTAATATGGATCTTGCTATTCCGGGGTCAGGAGCTTTCTGGCACGCCTTGAATGTTAGTTTTGCATTTCACCATAGTGCTCTGTTGTATTCTGTTGAGTTGGGTTCTGCTTTTTCCTCGATTTGTTTTTGTTCCGTTGTTTTGTTTTTGGTCTAAATACGAATACGGTTGGAGTATAAACACGAACATGAATATGAGAATGAAAGTTGGTGAGAATGAGACTCTAGCTATGTATACGAATATTAGTATGATGCCATGTCATGCTATAGTATACTATGTTGTATTATATCATTGTCTTTTGCATTACTCTTCATATTTGTATATTGAATTACTTTTTTGTGTTTGTAGTTATAGTTGCATCAGCAATGTTGTTTGCTGAATTTTTATGTTTGGTTATATCAAATTATCATAAACCGGATCATGCCATGCTGTGCCGTGTTGTCTTGCATGGTATCGTATTGCATTGCGTTGTATTGTATTGTGTTGCAATAGGTTGTATTGCGAGGTGTTCTGTTTAGTATGTTATAAGATGTTAAGTTTGGTTTTAATGTCTTGCTATGCTTTGTTGTGTTATGCTATGCTGTATGATGCTTCCTGTTTGGTTTTGCATGCTGTACATGAGTCCGCTCGTAGTAGATTACTGCTATGGTGCACCGTGTCATACTATGTACTCATATTTTCACAGTTTTATGTTGTGTTATGTTCAGATAGCATTGTGCCATATCATGTCATGCCACATCATACAGTATTGCATTATTGTCTGCCTTTTATATTACAGTGTTGTAGCATATCGTGTCACAGTATATCATGTCAAGTCAAATCATATCATATCATGCCATGCCATGGCAAGGCAATTGTCGATCACAACATGAATTCAATGTTTGTCTTGCATTACATTATCTCACTACCATATCTTGGCACATTTTACTACACATCATTTTACGGTATCGTGCCATAATATAGTATCTTCCGTTATCTACCATCATGTCTTCCCATATCATATCATGTTATTGTGTATGGGAAGTGTCCTTCGCACCTTAAAATCCCATATCACAGCATGTCGTATTGCATAGTTTCTTGTTGCACCATTGTTTTATCGCATCATTGTGCATGATTTTTGTGCTATACACTAGGTTCAGGGCCTGACTCCGAGTGATATCCTATCATTATGGCATATTTTCCTCTTTTTTCATCGTATTTTGTAGTATATTTATTGTATTATGTTATATCAGGTATGTATATATGGTACTACTTTTTATCATGGCCCTACTATTCTACGTTATGTTTTGTGCATCTTGTTATCACAGGCTTCATGGTTATACGTTCTATGGCATGGTATAGTAGGGTAGGAGAGGACAGAGTAGGTGGTATTATCCTATTTCGTTGTATTACATTATACTATGTTCTGTTACTATGTTAGTTCAGGCTAACATGACCTTGCCTCGAGGGGTTCAGGGTGGATGGCTGTCTGAGAGTATTGGAGGGCCCAAACGGCGGGGACCGGAGAGTGGAGAGTTCACATGCGCCGTCGCACTACGGCCCCTCTGATGCGTGTCTCTTTGCTCTTTCGGCTGTGAGCTCTTGAAAGTCTGAGGCGGTACACGATCCAGCGCCAGTTCGTTCAGGCGCAGCATGGGAAAGGGGTCCGAGATCTGGGTCGCGTGAACTCGGGGCCTTGGCCCCTAGAGGCAGCTTTTTGTTGGGAAAGGCATGTCTGCATTCCACATAGTGGCAGGAGAACTTCCCGGATGATCCTCTGGCAAAGCTGGCAGAGGTTTGCTTCCAGGCCATCGAGGGCAGTGGCTGTTGCTCGTACGAGCACCCCAAGCCTCTGAACGGTGTGGCCTCACTTTATTGATGCAGCTGAACAGCTAGTCTTCAGGCGATTCCTCCGGTGCTGGAGGCGACAGGCAAGGTGAAGAGCCTCGGATCAAATGTGTCCGGGGAATTTTGGCTCGGCCTTTGCGGGCGGTTGGGCTTTAGAGGAGCTTCTTGGCTTAGCGTTGTCGGGGCCAAGGGTCCAGACACTGCTGAGGAACCCGTGGCCGAACGTGGATGCTTTGTCGGGCACCTGCATGCCGGGGCCTGGGTGAGCAGAAAACACCAGAGGCACACTGAGAGGGCCGTGCGATCTTGCTAAGGTTGCCTCGTGCGTTCACCTAGAAGTAAGACATGCGCAAATCAATCCTGATTGGAGCACGGAAGCCAAAGGCAGTACTACGGCTTGAATCAGGAGGACTACTACACCGCAGCGCCCACAGCCTCGCAGGATTGAGACCATTGCGCTAGATTCCAGGTTTTTTTTCACGAATCTTGAATCTTGAGGTTCGGTCTGAGATAAGCCGCCGTACAAGCGCCTCCTCCTACAGTCGACAAACTCACTCTGTATTGAAGCTACGCAGAACCTCGCGAAGCTGGCGAACGAGCCCCTGGCGCCTGCCGAGGTGGTTTTCGCCGTCTCGAGAGCCCTCGGCTGCACCTCCAACCTGGTGTGGCCGGGGCCTTGCGGAGCCTTTAGGGCTTTCAGGACCAGTGACATCTCGGCTCAGAAACCTCGCGTCTCGAAGCGAGCACTGTCGCAAGGAAATCCTGCACCGTCTATTTCCAAGGAATTTCTGTCTCCAAGGGCATTGTGCACTGCAGGCTGCGCAACAGAGCGTGGTTAGTTTCAACGTGAATTCTAGCGAGGGTTGAACAAATGCTTCGACCCTAACTGGTTAAACTTGTGGTGCTGACCTGAGGTCGCGACTGATGGGGCTTCCTATCGAGAGGCCCTCCAGCGAAGATATAAGAACAGCGGTGTCGCGCTCCAAGTAACGGCAGTGCATGAAACGATGGTCACGTCCTTTGAGAGATGCTACAGTTGGCACAGCCAGACTGTGCCCCGAGATTTGAGACGGCGAGCCCAAAGCCTGGTGACAGGCCGAAGTCCGTCACGCTGGACTGGCTCAGCCAGAACGTGAAGTGAACTCTGACGAGCGCGCGCCAAATCTTTTAACAGGGCACCCCAGGGAGACCCTCCCTGCGTGCCGGCCACTGCCCAGTATGACAAAGCGGCAGCTTGCGTTCCTTGCACTACAGACATGATAAGTTGTGCCACATAAGGGCCTCAGGTTTTTGGCTCTCTTACGTTGTTGAGTTGTAGCAAAGGTCATCACAGTCTAGGATCCCATCGGCTTTCGTTGAGCTCTGTGTAGCCCATATGATCCCATTTTGAGCCCGACTTCCTTGCAGAGGCTGCACTCTCCAGTCAGCTTCCATCGGTTTTAATTCTCAGCCAGTTGCAGATTGTTCCAAAGGCGGCGAAACATACAGCTGGACAGGGTGATGTAAGCAGGTTGGCCAGGTTGCAGCACTGATGCTCACGGATCCGTGTGCTAGGCTGGCTTCAGCACTGTAGATGCATCTGCAGCCGCAGGAGCAGTGGCTGGCGCGTTAGTTTCGAGGCTCAAGCGACTTCGTCTGAAGCGTCCACAGGTGCCGGCGCTCTGGATTTTTGTTCCAGTGATGGCTCTCCGCGGACAGCCGGGGCCTTATACACCCTTTATCAGCCTATATCACCTTATACACTCTGGGGTTAGGCTGATGCTTCCTGTACACGGTGCGGTAGGTCCTATCACTTCCAATTTCCATTTCCTTGTTCCGGTGCTTCCTGCCTTGAGCATGCATCCTTTTTGCTTGATTTCTCTGCCAAGGACAAGCCCCTTCGGTCCCTATGGTGGTCTTTGCCGCCAGTTTCTGATGCGAGACCAGGAACGTCAAGAGGAAACCCCACAGAGACTGGAGCAGCTTGGGGCAGGGTCTGGTGCGGCAGACGTCGAGTACGAGCAGTTTATGAAGGCCAAGGAAGTGCAGAGGGTTATGTTCCAGCAAGAGAACAAGACCATAGTACACCAATGCGCCGACACGGACATCATCGAGGCTACAACAGGGTCCATTGCATGCATCGATGGGAACCAAGCCGCAGCTCACGTTGCCTACGCCCTCAGTGACTGCGCCTTCATTTATCCCATCACGCCGAGCTCTCCGATGGGAGAGATGGTGGACGAATGGTCCGCGCAAGGCCTGTATCTCAAAGTTGATGCGATCCTGTGA